CAAGCGCAAATATTTCTGTTGAATCAAAAACCAAAGCAACAAAACTTATCAGACATTGTACATTTAAATTCAACATTTTATTTATTCACCTTTTCTGACTATACGTTTCATCCTTTTGTTCGCATTGAGTGTAGATCCTAGGAATTGTTTAAATACAAATTCAAACAGAGACGCGATGTCTGAAGATGTTTTGAAAATTTACTGAATAGTATCTCATTGCCGACGTTGAGTCACGGAACACCTTGTACTTCCGTCGTCGTACGGTTGCACCTATTTACATTTGCATCACGTTTTCTGCGGAGTTCTCTCTTCCTGCTGCAGTGCAGCTGCATTGATCGTACTTTTGTTAATTATTTTTGTCAAAAATGTACATATACAAACGCACAAGTATTGCTCTTTTATAGGATCAATTAACTGCGTCGAGTTATACTTCCTTTTTATTTTTTCAAAACGGAATTCTATATGTTTATATTTAGTGGAATATTATTTATAAAAATCATTATTTGCTTCAAACGGTAAAAATCCAGAGAGCAAAGTGTGCATTACACGATAAAATATCACATTTCATGCGAGACAATAGCGTGGTCGGTGTTATAATCACGCCGCCCTCTGAAAGGATATGCAAATCCACTGTGACGTGGCCTGCTTTGGAACACTCGCTGCAGACGACAGTGATAAGCCCGTGCAAACACCGCAACACGCGGTAGATAGACGTGGTCTCGCTTTCGGGACGATTTATACACTTCTTCTAGACACGACAGGACAGAGATAAGATTATCTCGCAGACGATTAACTAAACTTCCGAAACTATGCATTTCACGCACTTTGTTCATCACGTGTCGATAAGATATCTCTCTCGAATATTTTCCAAATGTTCTAAGCGCGTGAAAGATACGATGCAGAAATTATTCTCAGCTGTTAAGTGTAAAAAATTTTACACAATTGAATATAAATCTTTTACAAACGTCTCTAATCTCTGGAGAATGCAAGCTTACTTCGTATCTCGGGGACTGTCGATCATGCGGAAAAATCATTTCTCTGCATTATACACCTTAAGCTAAATGCAAACGTGATCAGAATCAAATGTTACGATAATGTTATTAGAAGCGGAAAGACTAGAGTGCTGAGAAATAACCTAGACGCCCCCTCAGAAAATTCACCGTCTTCACAAGGATAAAAACAGCATGCTGAGCCGATCGCGAACCGGTGTTGCACACCCACACGCACCCACGCGTGCGCAGGTATGCGCAACATGCAGGCAAACTTAAAAGCAGATATTAAACGTTCACCCCATTGCAATCGACAAACTGCCGGCGGATAAACACGCCGCTTTAAACTCATTCGAAAAGAGATTATATAAAAAATAACATCTTGAATGGAAGTTTGATATGCCGTGTAATATAGAAAACCTTTGTGAATTCAGGCAAAATTGAAATATATTTTTTCTTTATACGGACGAAAACTGCGCAGTTACAAAAAAGTGTCGTCTAAATGGGATCTATGTAGGATTATGCAATTCATCGTGTCGAGGTAGAAACCGTTCCGCGTGAAATGCAGCGCATTTATTTCTGTCACAGTTATTTCCTGACCGAGTGTCAGAAAGCGCTATCAATTGGTGAATGATGATACTGTATAACCGACGAATTATTCCAAAACGATGTCAATCGCAGCTGATTTTTGTTGTTTCAAATAAGACGCGAAAGCTCAATTTGTGACTTTTATTAACGGAAGTTTCACAATACGTTTTCAATCATTTCTTTCGCCAAAATGACAAAATGTCAAATTAATTAAAATAACTCCGATAGAAATTAAAGAGTTGCTGGTCTTTTCACGAGAAAATAATTCCGACAACCTTCGCACCGACTGCACTGACAATTGCAGTATCTTAACGGTTTCCACGTGCACAACTTGCAGGTACATTAACGGGCTCGGGAAATGATTTAACGCGCTGCTGAATTACTGATTACTTTTCGAGTGAAGCACTACTGTACGTTCACGTCGCCGTGCAAAGTGGCGTTGTCAAGGGGAACACAAGAGTGTGACTCGAGCAAAGTTAGAAGTTTTAAGAACCCAATGGAGGTGCCGGAAAAAGATCTCTCATGCCGCTGAAGTGTGCGCCGACGAGATGGAAATTGCGCCTGATTTATTTCTTTTTTTCTTCTCTCTTTTTCGACTCCCAGCCGAAGCACTTTCTCTTTGATCCGTCGGTCGTAACATTACGTTTGCTACATTTGCTAACGATAATCGTGCACGTTGATTTGACATTTGATTTTCGCGAATTCCAAGGAATTTCCGCACGAACAAAACATGATGCGATATATATCGAAGAATCACACAACAGCACTATCACCAAATATGGAATCGTTCGCTTTTCATGTTTCGGCCCGCCCACAATGTCATAAAGCCGACAGAGAGGATAAGAGAAAGGCACTTTTTGTGCAGTCCGTTTTTTGCTAATCACCATGTCGTCTTTAACGTTTGGAAATTCTGTTTCTAATATATGTATCTCTGTAAATATTTTAATTTTTTAATTTAACTCTTTTACTTCATTCTTTTATTAAATTGCACAAGTCATTTGTATTCGTTACCATCGCATAAATTGTACTAGAAAAATGAGAAAGCATTCCAATTTGCGAGAAGAGCAATTTTCTATGGTAATTTCTGCGCCGAGTTCTGAGTGGGAATCTTAAACTGCAGTAAGAAACTTTGAAAGGGAATTAAAAGTTCACGTTAATGCGACTTGACACACGAAAACGCATGCAAAGCCGACCTCGTCGATAGGAACTTGATATACTTTGACCTCAACAAGTTATATCTACGATGTGCAATCGCAATCGCAATCGCAATCGCGATCTAATTTCGAACAACAAATATTTAGTCGGCAGAAGCACTTAAAAGAATTGCCCCACTTATATACATTACACAGAACCCGCGTACATCATTTCATCTCACCGTATTGCATATAAAAATTTTGATAAGTATAAAACTCATATTCCATTGAAAAATAAAATCTCCTTTAAAATAACAGAGGAATAAAATCTGTTGATTTAATCATTTGCGGTTTGAATTAATTTTAAGGAATATTAAATATTTTGTCCTTATTTTAAGAAGAAAATTTTGTAAGTGAAATAATAATTGTTCTTATTTTAAGGTTCTTATTTTAATAACGATTGTTCTTATTTTAAGGACTTTTTAATTATTACGTTAGAATAAATATATGACGAAAACATAGTTTTTATTCAACATATAGTATTTCAATAAAATAATTAAATTAAATTCTGTATATTTGAAGGCTCTTGAAATTTAAAAATGTATTAATCTTCGAAGATTCAAAGCCAGATGTCGTTTGCTTGTTAATATCGTTTATTCTTAACTTGTAATTGTAATACAAGTTAAGAATAAATGATATTAACAAGCAAACGACATCTGGCTTTGGATCCTCGAAGATTAATACATTTTTTAAATAATTTAATATATTTAATAGTTGCAATCTGAAGAATTATCGTTCGCAATGTCGCAAAGCACCAAGTCCAGTTCATAGGATCGCGAAAGATTAAAATTAATGAAAGAATTGGGGACAAAGCAATTTATATACACGCTATATATTACAATTTACGCAAACATGAGACAGTTTCACGACCAGAGATCGATTCAGAACATCGCAATCGCTCGCTGTTTCAAACAGCGAGTATTACGAGTGGGCAGCCGAGTGTCATTCCATGGCAGCCTACGCGATTTCGACAATCCACGCCCGACACGAATCGAAAGTGTGAATCGAACGGAAGGACGTCTATTTGGTTCACAAATTAGGCTTTTAGCCTAATAAGGCAAAATTTGTTAAATTCCCAGAAAAAAAATAATAAACAGAAAATTATTCGACACTATCTACAAATTAACAAATTACGAATTTTATACGAATAATTTCCTACAAATTACAAGTTACATCCTGCAATAACAGCAATTATGAATGCGACATAAGCAAAATGGCATCCGAAAAACATGTTTAAAAAAATTTTGCACAATTGTAAATTGCTGTTAGCGATCGACTCGCACGATTTTAACACTTGCATGTAAATATATTACTATAAAATCTGATCTGGCGCGCGAGCGAACGGCTTCGCATACGCGATCGACTTATTAATTAGTTGCGCAACGAGTCGACAACACTTCCAGCGTGTTAAAAAGTCGCCGAAGCGTATCACAAATTGCGATCCGCGGAAGCCGCATCGGTATAACACCATCATTCTTCCGCAATTCGATTGGAGAAATGGACAGGATACACGATATTCATAAAGGAGCGGCGCTTTGCTGTTGATATAATTACGCGCCGCATTTTTTCTAAACAAAAATGTAATCCGTTCAACCTGTACACGAAAGAGATTAAAATCGGGACGATGTTTCGTCCCAGGAATTGAAAGTCCGCCGCGGATTCCGAGCGACGGCTCGTTTTTCCTCTCCGTCGCTGTTCACCGGCCGTGACGATCATTGGATAATTCGAGAGTGAAATCTTGTCCCTGGCACTATTATCCTTTGTCACGCCGAAAGCGTATAATGATGCGTGATGCCGAATCAAGCGGATTATTGCCGTCTTGTGTTTAACTCAACGTGAATTGCTTGTGATATTCCTGCACACGTGCTGCTACAAGACCGTAAATCTTCGATAAAGCAGCATGTGAAAAGTCAAGTTTTCTAACGGCACGTTCAGAAATGGAAAGCGATGCAATGCTGTGAAAATGCATCGTCGAATCGCAAAGTCTAGCATTTCCAATGCTTCTACAAAAATGGATTCAGAAAAGACAGATCGCCTGTTAAATAAAATTCTAATTTTTCACGCGTAATATTTATTTTACCGGATAAAAGTTTTGAACGTTTAATATAAAAACTCCATTAGAATTTAACCACAATTTGCATCGTAAATTGAGAAAAATCGAACAGCACTATTCTCGATAATCTCGCGCATGAGACAACACGACGCAATACATATGCAAAGAGCGACTTACGTAAATCGTGGTGACGGTTGCATTTCTAACCATATCCCTGACATCGTCCATCTCCCGAATGGACGCCGGCGTAGGCGCCAGCATCACCTCACTCGCCATCCTCGCGTTTTTGCCGCGATTGTCTTCTACTCAAGAACGCGCGTCGCGATTCTTGTACGCCAAATTCGGTCTGCGCCCGGAATTCGAAATGTAAAAAGGCCACGACAAGCTGCACCGCCAATTTTTAATGCAGAAATATCGATCTGAACTCAGTGCAGAATTAATCATTCAAATTCAATCCGAATAATGCGGCGCTTTCTAATGAAGCATTCCGTACAAGTGGCACAGATCGCGGCGCTTTGTGTATCGTCACATTTTCAGGGATTATTTGCTCGCTTAATTGACGCAACCTCGAAGTAGTCTCGCACGTTACTCCTCGCGGCGTCCTTTCTCGCGAAACCTCGTCTTCGGTATGCACGGCGTCCGCTTCCGGGAGAGAGGCGGCGCGCGTCCAACGGAGAGAAGAGCGGCGACCGAATTTAATTTCGGCGACCGACTTCGCGGAGCGACATTATTAACTAAACACACTCGCGTCGCGACGCCTGGCGAGTTTCGCTACATGTTACGCGCGTTTTCACCCCGTTCCTCGATATTTCCCTCTTCCTCGTGAATAATCCAGAACGCAGGAGAGACAACGATCAGCGACTGCATGGCAGCAGCCGCATGTATCACGATCTTCTTCCCGAAAACGCGGATTCTCTCGTGGCACGGAGCCAACATCTGTCTTCGATCGGCTCAGCGATGCAATCCCAATCACGTTCGTGGCGAGTTTGAGTCTTTTTGTTTTCGGGTAATCTAGTCGAACCTTTTCAGAACGTTGTGGAGAAATTGTAGCGTCGATGCAGTGCAGCGCATTCAGTGCAGCGGACGTTTTGTGACTTGCACTATGCGTTGCGACTATAGAGATAGCATAAGAATCGCGATCGATACGCACTTCCGAGATGATGAATCACTTCGCGAACGTGTACACGATAACTCAAGTGAAAAAAAAGATAATACGCAATCATCTGAGTGTGTCAACAAATCTGTCGACACGGAAAACTATTAATTGTTGCGTTTAAATATAATTGATTTTCCCACCATCTTTGAAAATATATTTTCAAACCACTACTTTTCACGATTTATATCTCGGTAAAAAATGATTTGTCTACTCAGACTTCACTCGAAATAACTCGTGTTGGTCGATTTTTTTCCGACGCCGCACGTCACCGTCAATCACTTCGCCACCGCGTCTCCGAATTCGGGGAACAATACGGGCCGCGGTGCGCCAAGTGTGATTGCGGTAATTGATTTTGATGTCCACTCTTCGGGGAACACAGTTACAGCAACACACACTGCCAGTTCCGAGCGCGAAACCGCACTACGAGCGAATCGCGCGCGGGCTTTTGATTCCGCCGAGCGCGGAGACGGCACTCTGCGGCCGCGTGAGTGAGTCAGTGCTGTTTCATACCCACGACGCCTACACACACACACGCACGCAGTGGCGAATCAAGATGTATCGAGGCCCTAAGCGTAATATAATTAGCTCTCACCCCGCGCATCACAGAGGGTTCCGCAGATAAAAGAAGATATTTTTCCCCTCCAAATAATTATATAGCTTTCAAGCAGATGCAACATAAAATTATATTCCAATTGTGGAGATAATATTTCGCTAATTTCATTAATTTTAAATAATAAATTCAACACGACGCAAAAACAAAAATTATTTATGCTTTATCATTGCGTTACTTTTGAGATTTTTTAAATTCTGAATGAACCTGATATATCATTGACTGTTCCGATGGAAAGAATGGCTTATGTTGGTGTGAATAATTACTTTCGCCTTGGAAACCGCGCTCTCAACGAAACAATAACCACGATAATTAGAAATATTTACATCTTCAACAAAAGATGCGCTGTAAAAGCAGCGAGCATAAATACCTCGTGTAAAGTAGCACGTTGTGAATACAGCGGAATCTATCGTTGCATTTTTAAAAAATTGCACAAAGCAGTTTAATTAAATAAACAATTACCTAGATAACATTTGGACAAGTGTAACTTGAGAAAGGCGTAGAAATTTTCATAAATACGTAAATTGAATCGCAAAACTTTCCAGATCCTCCAGACAGTTTTCCGAAAACGGTGCAATGAGAGCTAGTTAAGAACAAGAATTGATCGTGGAAAGTGACCAACAAACGTTTCCTTTCGTGAAAAGCATCTAACAATGAAACGCCAAACAATGCACCACTGTCGCATAACGCGGATTCATTTTCTCACGCTATATTGGATTACTCGCGAAGGACGTTGCAAGTGTGTAAAAGCAGAGACGCAGTGACAACCTATCTCATGCTCCCGGGACGCCTCCGCTTTTTGCGGGTCTCTTGCGGCCAGGGCCGGTTAACCAGCAGACAGTCCTGTGCACGCACAGGATGCTCTAAAGTTACAGAAAAAAACCCCACGAGATTTGCTGATATTTAAGAAATTTTTGCAATAATGACATAAATTTGCGGAATGTGCTGAAATTTTACAGAATTATTTAACGATAAGATAAAAAGCATTAAATTTCTGTAATGATCAAATAATGAGTACGTTTTACTTGTAAATGATCTTATTTACAAGGTCAAAATTATCACTTTTAATTAGCCACCCACACCAGCTATTTCCTTATTCGCACGGTTTCGAAACTTTAAACGATTTCGATTATCTGCTTCGAGAAGCCAGGTGCAAACGTGACTTTCACCGATTAACTTTTTAAAAGTGAGCGTTTGAACATGGAATATCCTACATTATTATTACATAAAATGCATGCAAGTCATACTGTTTTTTCTTTTCACGAGAAATAAAAACTAAAAAAAATGGTGATGCTATAGAAATTATAATTTTTAACAATTTTCATTAAATATAATAATCAGTTTAATAGTTTAGTTAGTAAATTAAACAATTTGATAATTAATAGTTACGTTTATAACTAATAATTTTATATATTTAACCATTTGTATACCAATTTATTAAAGATATTAATAGATTTCGCATTCAAATTAAACACTTAAGATTCCAATCGTTAAGTTTTGAAGTATAAATAACCTTTTAAATTTATTAAAAATATTTTTATGCGACAAAACAGTAAATTACTGACTCGTGAAAAACAAAAATAATTTTAGAGTAAAGTGAGATGTTTATCTAAAACGATAATATATGTACATAAGAAAACATTCGAGTTATCTTACGCGCGGAATGCATAAGCGAGACTCCACTAAACACACTTTGTTCGCAACATTAATCGTTTCCGAGTATGTGTCATGGTCGTCTTAATTACTTTAAAAGGAGTCATCAAGGCTCGCGTAGTGAGAGCTGAGTCCTCGTCTTTTCTCATCGCAAAGTTAATGCAGGTGTAGCGGAAAATCCTCGAGCTATGTCGTCTTAATCAAACACGATCAATCGATCGATATTTCAAGAGCAGTAGTACGAGTGGTTTAATTATATGTAAAGAGTATCGATGATAATTTTATATAAAAATAGTGCACAGATACATTATTTTTAAACCTTTGTAAATAAAAGTTACTTTATTCCTATTAAATTACTTCATTGAAATTATTCGCACAAACTAATGATTATTTGATATGAATATTAAACACTCATCATTCTTTTACAATTAAATTTAAATCTAGTTATCAGAAATGCTACAGGCAGAGCCGTTACTTTTATGGCGAGATCGTGACACGTGTAAAATCTTAGAAGCTCACATTTTTGTGAACGTTTTTGAGATTCAAAGAAGACATAGAAATCAGAGCACGTAATGCACGAGAAATCACGGCGGCTAATTGCACGGCTTGCACGCGCGTTGCATAGCTTTTCAATGCACGTTTGATAATTGCGCCGCTTATTACATGCGGAATGCACTCGTCCGTTCCTGCGCGCTAGAAAAGGAGGAGCTCCAAACGACACGCCTTAAATTAGGCGCTTAGTTTCCAGTACATTAATCGACGGAAACGATCGAGACAAGATCCTTCGCGAACACGCACGATAGAATCGCTTTTTTTTTTTTAACCAGGCATTGTTTTACCAAGCAACGTAGGTAAGTAAACACCGCCAATGTATTTACTTTCAGTACGATCGGTCTTCAGTGATGTCGATGACTTCAAAAATAAATAAGTAATGACGGCATAAATAAAGCCGCTTGCACGCAATAAGAATAACCTTGCTTTCCAGTAACGAGAAAACGAAACCAGTTTACACGGTATAGTGCGTTGTAGCAATAAATCTGTCTTTAGGCTAGTCTTAGGCTATCATCCTACAATCAAATTCTTATAAGCTTTATAGCAATAATCATACACTATTATCATAAAAACTTGAAAATTATAAAGTTAATCGAAAACGTGAAAAGTAACGAATTGCAATAATGAGATAAGTGCAGAATGATTGATACATTTTTCATATTAAAGTTAAAATAAGTAATCAAATATGTAACGCTGAACAGATTAAAGAAATAAACGCCGCGATAAAGAGAATCCATATAATTAGATTCTCGACTTTGAAAATAAAATCACGCGAGTTTTGTGCTTCAAGAAGTAACTAATGTTATTTACGTGTTAGAAATGTTTTCGTTGAATTTTTGTGGAAAGAAAACTACTTGACGGGTTTACGCCTGCTACTCGTAAATGCACAGCTTACGTACTTTCTTATTGTTAGTGGCTTTCTTGCAATACTATCGACAATGCGTTTTTCTCTAAGAGGCCAAACCGACCGAATGACACTCGTTGGACGTGTGCCAAATGTGATCGTCGATAACGAGGACTCTAGCGTGTCCGCATATCGATTGTTCATCGGTGCAGATTTGCGCAAGCCACTGGATTGTAAAGGAAAACAATGTTAAATGGCATGACAACAAGAGATTAACAATAAATATGCAATTTGCACGAGAATGTGCAAAAGTTTTACGATATCCTGCACGATGTTAATATCGAGGAGTTTTAAACACGCGATAGACAGATTAAATTGTTAATGCAGAAAAATAATTCCACTCTGTTTAATAAGAATACAATATCGAAGGGCAAAGAGAGTGAATACATTCCTGCGTTTTTCAGAAATAATAGGAGAATAAAAGAGTCTTTTTATAAACCATCAAAATATAGATAATACTGATCGATTCAGACTTAAAAATTGATCAAAATAGAATTATTAATCGCAGAATAAGAGAGCCTTTCATGCAGAACGGGTCAATAAACGAAGGGGTATTAATAGACGATCGATATAATTCCTTGAAAGCCGATATGATTCGGGCAAAACCTCAGCCGGGCGAATTTACGAGCGTCGGTAGTGGAGTTCTCGAGACGCGCGGCTCATTCGGAATTAGCAGCGCAATTAAAGGGATAATTAAGGTGAGAGTGTACGATTCGCCGAAGACGCGAGGGAGGCAGCCGCATTCGGTGATCCGCGTCCGTGGGCGCGCGGGCAAGGCAAGTTTACGCGGCGCGTTTTATCGTGCAATAAATAACCTTGTGCACAGGAAACGAACGCCATATTCGTCATAGCGTCAGAGCTCGGGAACAGCCTTACTGCTTGGACAGCTATCCATCTACAACGTGTCTCGCAAGTACGTGTGACAAATATCTCCATTCGCTAACGAGGATACGAATAGAGAAGTGTCCTACTGCAAATATCTCCCTAAAGAGAAACATATTTATCGCAGACGTCAAGTTCTTCATTCGATTCAGCGCTAAAGTATTCCTTCATCTTTCTCGAACATCCAGCATATAATTATTTGTACCTAAAATCTCCTTCCTAATTTTGATATTCTAACTTTCACGTGTTTCGTAAAGTCTAAACAAGAATCCCTTTTCCCGGAGAATTGATTTCAGAACAGAATAAGCTTCTCTTTAGGTCTCAACTTTCATCAGTGTCACATTCCTTCTATCGCCCGACTTCGCGCTGATCCCGGCGAAGGAGAAGAGAAACGACTTACCTGGCGGGAGTCGTAGGCGTCGGGGAAGTGCTCGGAGTCGCCCCCGCCGGACTGCTGATCGGCTGCTGTCGCCGCGGCACCGGCTGCGACGGCGGAGGCGGCGGCAGGCCTGCGTCGATCGTCTGCACTCGCGCCGCGATCCATCGTCGCGTCGTAGAACACATGTGCGGCGTTCGTACCGTCGCCGGGCGCGTCGTCGTCGGCGACGCCGTTGCACAAGCGCTGCTGCTGCTGCTGCTGCTCGTCCTTTGCCGCTGTCGTTGTCGTCGTCGATGGCGGCAGCGGCGGCGCGGCTGTTTCCTGCACCACCGCGGTCTTGTTGCCCTTAGCGAAGAGCCGCGAGATCGTGTTCCACATTCAACGGGATGATAGCGATCGCGCCGGCACCCGTGGTTTCAATCAACGACGACCGATCCGCGCGACTTCCTGTCCTCGTCATAGCCAAGACGACT